GCGCGTACGCCGTGCAGCTGATCATGGAGGACTTTCCTCGCCAGAACATCACTCTGTCCAATGACGTGGGGAAGGAGCTGCGTCTTACTCGCGAGGACGCCATCGGCCAAATCCCCATCCAGTTTGTTCTGGAGGGTGAGAAAGTGTGAATGTTTGAAATGATCGAAACTACAACTCAATATTGCAACTGAATCGAGTTGTTGTAATTAACGGGATCCCTTTGCTTGTTTTTGGTGCCACCTTTGGGTAATGGGACACAATGACGGCCCAAGTATGTTCTGTCCAGTCGAAATAATCACCTGCACTCTTTTCCTTTTTGCGTAAATATATAGTGGATTCTCCGGTGGCGTCCTGCGTGGAGGAACCTGCCTTCAGGCCCCCTACCCCAGCCAACGGGGATCATCTGTACACCTCAGTCAATAAGACCGTGGAGATCTCCCTCCATTTTTTACTGCCAGGATCTGTGTACGTGTATGACAGATGGGATATCTGTATATAGAAAAAGAGGAGGGCATAAATAATAAAAAAGAAAAAAGGAAAACTACTGACTACATAATCAAGGAGCTCCCCCAGCCATCCATCCCGTGCAGAAGGTCATGCCTACCCCAGCTGACTTTAACCAAAACCATTCATGCTCACGTTCACGGTTAGACGACAAATTCATTATTGCAGCACGGTGGGTAGTGGTCACCGCGTCTGCCTCAGTTTCTGCATTGATGAAGTAAAATGTTCACTCCATTAATGAGGAACTCTTGTGTTTCAGGACCTTGAGGGTGCTGCTCAGCGGGCCGGTTACCATGAGCCAGTCGATCATCGACGGCCACGTTGTTTTGGTGTGGACGCCGACTGAGACGGATTTGAACCTGAGTCAGGCAGTCTGCTTTGCCATCGAAACGGTCGACACGGCGCTGACGTACGTGTTTTAGGTTCGCTTGGGGTCCGCTCATCAGTGATGGCCCACTGGCACACACTTGGCATGCTAACGTGCTAATATCGCCCTCCCACAGCACGCGGCATTCGGAGATGCGCTGTGTCATCGTGACAGTTCATTCTGGCGGTGAGTGGAGCCGCTTGCTGTCGTTTCCGAAAATTAGGGACTCTCAAATGTTTTGGGTCAGACTTTTTTCCTAGGGCCGCCTCACCCTGAGAAAGCTATTGAAACATACCTGTCACGTGTCATCAAAACAATCAGTGGTTTCAACCTTTGTCATGGTGACACCAAAGCCAGACACTTTTGGTTGTTGCAGTAACACTGTCGTCGGTGTTAGCTGAGGATGCAGCAAAGATGAAGGGAAGAATGACACGTGACGTTTTTTTTTTTCACCTAAGATGTGAGCATAAAGACGGTCAAAATGGTGAATTATATCCAATGTCAATGTTATTATCAATTACAGTTAAAGCGTTGTGATGATTCCCTTCGTAGTAAGTATTTTGGGAGACTCATGAAAAAGCAAAATATTATGAAATCCATACTTTTTGGAAATATATATATATATATATATATATATATATATATATATATATATATATATAGAGGAAACGGAACACGAGAAACTCGAGAAATACCAAGGGCTTAGAGAGGAGCTGGAGAGTTCCTGGCCTCTGGTAGAGGACCCGAGCTCAATGAGGGATGGACACCACCCGAGGGGTGAGACGAGGATTTTTATATATATATTTTAAATTATTATCAGAACATGGCAAATTGTGATGATGTGATGATGCGTCACAATCCTAGCAGAGCTTCTACTTGGCCCAGGGCTAAAGTAGGGAGTAGTAATTGCTTAATTGTAAGATTTGCAGGCCATCAATGCAATAATAATTCGAAAATTATATGACATCACACCTAAGCCATCAGGCTAACCCTGTGAAAACTGAGAGTCACTTCTGTCTTTAGTTGTGGTTGCAATGAGAGCCAGCGTCCAGTCCTTGTTCCCGCTGTCCGCGGACGACATCCGGGGATTCGGCTTAACGCAGGTCCGTCATTGGGCATCAGGTGCGCAAACCGTCCCTCAACGCTGACACAGTTTGAGTGTTGCTTTTCGACCCTGCAGCTGAAGGAGGGGCTGGTGACACTGGGGTTGCCCTCTGACATCACGCTGAAATTAGTGGACTACAGTGAGAAGAGCACAGCAACAACACCTTCGGAAGGGGAGTAACTGGAATGCCCCCTGAGTGAAGGGTGATTTTGGCGACCTCTCTTTTGTGCCAATTAGATTGTTAATCATTCATTCACCTCTGAATCAAAAAACTGCAGCAGCGTTACATTGCCGCCACTGTCTTGACCCATTTGATGGTTTTCACTCGGGTTGCACCAATATCCAAGCACAAGTACTTATTTTCGAGTGCTTGCCGATACCAAGCACAGAAGATTAATAATGGCATTATGAATTGCAATTGTGATGAAAATGTTTCATTTGAATAAACATTGTTCAGAAACACACGACTCATCTTTTCTTGAACACGGCACTCTAATAGAACATCTTTTGAACGAAAAAATTTGTCATAACTGGCATTTTACCAGGTAAAGTGGTCAGTGTCATGGTATCAGAAGATTTCCGAAGATTTTTCCGAGCACGAGTACTGACGTATCGGTGCATCTCTCGTTTTCGAACTGAGACTCACAATCTTATATCTAGTCAAAAGGTATTTTTGACGTTGCTTTGGAATAAAATACAATCAAGAGCATAATTTGGAAGAGTATCTCTTTTATTTCTTATTAAGACCTAAAATTTGTAATTTTCATGCAAAATAAACTAACTTTCACCCAAATTTAAATGGCAATAGCTTGACGTAAAAATGCAAACTTTTTATGTTCACGTACACTTCCTCAATTGCATTGTTGACATCTGCGCTGGTGTGCCTCTGAGAATAGTGATACTTGGCTCGTCTGCTCACCTCATCATTTACCATTTAACAACCGTGATGTTCACACCTTTTCTATATACTTCCCCTCCGTTTCCCGCTAGAGTTATTGTGCCTTTTCTGGAAGAGCCTTTCTTCAGGCTACTTATTACAACTACGGGCCCATATCAAATCTTCCGTTTATATGAAAAAAAAAAAAAATAATAATTGACAGTGTTGTTTTCCAACATGTTCGAGCCACAGCACTTAGACTGCACTTGTTAAAGTCTTTAACCCTTTCATGCACCAATAATGAGAACCTGTAACCTGATAGCATGATAAGCGCTCGACTGTAGTAACTGCTGTCCCCGAAAGGGTTCATGACATATACAGCTGAATCATGCTGCGTTTGACACGTTTGATCATAATCTGCAGCTCGACTGACTACATCAGTGGGTGGGAATTCATGGTACTGTGCGGGGTTCCACAAGGGTCCATACTTGGACCACTTCTGTTAAATTGACAAATTGCCCCTTGCTCAGATTATGGAGCATCAAAACATCTCTGACCACAATTGCAGAAGAGACGCAACTTTTCATTTCAGCGTGATCCCATGACTGTAGTCACTTAGTTTCATTAAGTGTCAACGAGTCAATGGAACAGAATTTTGGCCAGTTCAATCCAGAAAAGTCAGATGTGATTGTTTTTGGCCCCAAAATGAAGGGACCAACATCAGCGCTCACTTTAACTCGATATTTGAAAGTTGCAAATCTTGGTGCAATTATTGACTCAGACCTGAATTTTAACAACCACTGAAAAGCTATGACTAAAACCTGCCTATTAACACCTGAAAAACAGCTTTAGTTTAGGGGCGTTTTGTGTCAACCAGGCACCGGATAACTTGTTCATGCTTTTATTTTCAGTAGGCTAGATTACTGGAATGTTGTCTTTACAGGGAGGAATCCCCCCCCCCCCCCCCCCCAAAAAAAAAAAAAAAACAGCCAGCTGCAGCTGATCCAAAGTCTTGCCACCAGAGTCCTTTCAAACACCAAAAACTGGACCAAACACAGTCGATAAATCTCAAAAAGGTCTTGGACCAAAATACATGCAGGATGTACGAATACCCTATGAAGCATCCAGAGCACTCAGGTCATCTATGACAGGTCATCTGTGTGTTCCCAGAACCAGAACCAAACAAAGTAAAGCAGCATTTAGTTACGATGCTCCCAACATGTGGAACAAAAACCCCAAATACCCGAGGTCTGCTCAAACCATCACTTCATTTAAATCAGGGCTGAAAACATTATTTTTTATTGCATCATTCTCATGAATCCTTCTCTTGTTTTAATCCCCCATTTGCACTCTGTCTTTTAATTTATCTAGACGGATGCTTGGTTGTAATCATTTTGGAAACGGAGAACACGAATTGTTGAAGATTTGTAGGTTTATGCTTGATGTACAGCTTCAGCTGTTTAAAAGTCCGGGGTCTGCGTTGTTGTATTTTACGCTTCTAATACACCACACAATTTCAATGGGAGACAGGTCTGGACTGCAGGCAGGCCATTCTAATACCACTGCTCTTTTACTCTGAACCCCTGCTGTTGTGACACCTGCAGAATGTGGTTTAGCATTGGCTTGCTGAAACAAGCAGGGGCTTGAATGAGGAGCTTCAATAACGACGATTTGTTTTTCAAAACCAAGGCGATTGTCAACCAAGAAAAGTTTTACTTACAGCCGCAGATTGCGGCATCCCCAAACGTAATGTTGCTTTGTGATTGCGCTGCACCACTCAAACCAAATCAGTGGGTTCGGGACTAGATGCATTCTCAGGGTTTCGTGAACTCACAAATACAGTTGCAGAGGCTCCGCGATTTGGGATTAAGAGTAGGCCAACATCAGGTTCGCGCAACTTCCAGACAATGTCCGTGACGTTGAATGGCATGAAGGTGTGGAGGAAAATTGGAAGATGATCCGGAATTTGACAGTGAGCCAGGGAAGCTCGATGATAGGACAATTGTTAGCTCTAATGTACAAAAACATTTGTGACCTGGCACGCTCACACGCTGAAGTTAATTTCGCAATGGCAACCTGCCAGGCCTCACCTTTCCCTTCTGCTGATAAATTACGGGGATGCGTAATTTTTCCGAAGAACACGTCAGACTGCATGTAGACACTTGTGTTCAAGACTTATCTGTCACTTGTCATCCTGAATTGTGCGAGTCTGGTCCAGTCTTCCGTCATGCAAGGGTGCTTGCTGGTCTTGATGTTGCTGGCCTGCAGCTGCCAAGCGTTTAACTACATGGGCACAGCCTTTACCCACCATCCCCTGAAGGACTCTGACACCACGGTACGTACTCTTTGAAGCATAGCTCATTGCCTAGCTTCTCAATGTCAGCTGTCAACACAAGCAAATGCTCCGCAGACCGTCGTTCGCTACAAGTTGGCCTTCCAGGAGTGCGGCAATGTCACCGTGGTGGACTGTCCGCTGGACAACTGCACGGTCAACGTGGTGTCTGTGAACAGGGTGGACGAGAACAGCGGAGTGTGGTGTCAGGATGAAGTGATCGTGCATGTGGACATCCCAGATAATTTTACGCTGAAGTGAGTCTTGAGAAACGCACGTACACATGCTTCCCCTTTGGGCTATTCGGGAGCTAGCGCTCCACAACCAGTTTTCCCTCACCGCTAATGGTGGCAGTGATGAAATACAAACACTTTGTGACCATATTCATTTGGATTTTTCAAATATCTGTACAAAACTGCTTTTTTCAATCTCCGTGGAGGATGGCGCGACGTAAAAAAAAAAAAAAAAAGTAAAATCAGAGTTGAACTTAACCTTGCAGAAGATTTCGATGAACTAAAATCTAAGGCCAGAAAAAAACTGTGACAGCAGTGACTAGGGCAGTGTTTCTCAAATAGTGGGGCCAATTTATGTTTTTAATGTCTGTTATTCATTTTATATAAAAAATTGCTCTGCCAGCCTGGATGGCCTCAAGTGGATCAATGTCGCCAATAACGTCACGGATGTACTGGCCGTTACACACGCCGACGTGAGGATCAGGTCCGACACCGGCCGGCCAAATATGTCCCCCCGGGGCACCATGATTCCCTTGTACAGGTATGACCGGCCTGACACTGAAGTTTGGGCACCCGGGAAACCAGCCGCCACCTTATAGGATGTTTGCATTCATCCCCAAGGGTACCGTCCAACTGCTTTATCCAATCGAGGATGCCCATCTTTGACTCAGACGGAGATGAAGTGGAATGTTTCCCTTTAAACCCTGACAACAACCCGGATATTTTAAAAATCGTTGACGTAAGTGAACCCCACCTGCTGAAAACAGCACCCTCCTCGATTGCCAGCCCAGCGCTGACTGCTCCTTCTTTGCAGGGTTGTTTCCTAAACTTCGTGCCCATCTTCAACGACAGCAGCGTGGAAGGCACGTACGCCGTGCAGGTGGTCATGGCGGACATCGCTCGTCAAGACTTGACTCTAACCGACGCCGCGGGGAACGAGAAGTTTTTCCACAAATTTGGAACCATCAGTGAAGTCCCCGTCCAGTTTGTTCTGAAGGGTGAGAAACGTTTGGACCGGACTCACCTTTGGAACAGTCCAGTCCAGTCAGGTGGCAAAAGTGGGGACAGTCTAAAATGCTTCGCGTGAAAACGCATCGGGGCTACAAACTGGGGTTCTCGTTTTGTATTTTCCGAGAAGGAAGTGGGCATGAGTAGAACTGTCCACATACACGTTAGTGATGATTCACAATTTTTCGGCTTTTTCTACATTCGTGTTTTAGGCCAGGGGTCCCCAACCGCCGGTCCGCGGACCGGTACCGGTCCGCGGGGCATTTGGTACCGGGCCGCACAGAAAGAACTTGCCTTATTTCCGTTTTATTTATTTCGGAATACGAAATATGTTTTATTTTGAAAAATTACCGGATTCTCTGTTACATCCGTCTGTGTCACGCTTGACTCACGTCAAAGGCACACTTCTCGGTCACGTGACCGACGACGCTCATAAACAAAACGCTGAAGCCCGCAAAATGAGTAAAAAAGCTGCTTGGAGATCGCAAATGACGGCCGCCTTAAAAGTATGTTCGAAACTACTGGATCAAAGTTATGGCTGAATACTCTGAGATCGCCACAATAGCACTGTTGCTATTTCCGACATCCTACCTGTGTGAGGTGGGGAGTTTCTGCAGCAACAGCGACTAAAACAAAATTACGAAGTAGACTGGACATAAACCACACACTTGAGGTGTCATTGTCTCCCATTACCCCGACATGGGACTGTCTGATTGCAGAAAATCAAGCTCGGGGCTGTGGTGAGTCGTCATTTTCATCCACTTTGAATTTGCGTTGTATCGTATTTTGAAGGCATTAAACATTACCAGAGCGATAAGAGTGTTGCGACCAGATTAGACGCTCCTTGTGTTTATTATTATATTTCGAAAACACCACAGGCTGTCACAAAAAAAAAAAAAAAAAAGGCTCATATTCTGTACTTTAAGGCGAAGTTCAGTTTCTAATCTCTCCGCACTCATCCCTGACCACCGTAATAGTATGCAAGTATGAAAGCGCCTACTTGTGAAGTCCATCTTAAAAAAAGTAGTGTTGCTAGCATTAGCATTGGAAAAGAAGCCAAGATTTGGTTTTCACAGCCGCTACGTTGGTGGCATGGTTTAAATGTGATAAAAGTGTTAGCATAACACCACCATGCGCGTATAGCCGTTTGAAGTTTCACTCTTTGGAATGTACAATTAACCCCAAATTAAAAACCGGTGAAAAATGTACCCGTAGAGCGAGAACCCGTGCTAATTCGGTGTCGCTTTTTGAATCCTCTCAGCTGCCTGAGGTCCCTTCGCTCTGCACTTGAGAGGAAACGTACTTATCGTAACCGTAACTTTTCCCCTGTTTGAATTTTCTGAATTTCCAGTGGATCCACCAGTGGAGTCGTGCTATGAGGGAGAATACCTGCCCTTGTTTTTATATCCTACGCCTCAAGCCGAAGATCATCTCTATGCCTTTGTCAACCGGACCCTGGAGATTAAGATCTATGCAAAAGCGGAGAAATCGACGTACGTGTTTCTTTTAATGAATTTACCACCACAGATATACAATCATCTATTCCACTGTCGATTGTGCCTTGTCATATTCCAGTTAAAAAGAGACAGTCGTATGTGCTACGCATTGTATGCAGCAGTTCACAACGGCTATTTAACATGACAAAGATCCATTTTAAAAAATACTTATACTCAGCGGAGATACAGATTACCGGTAGTCACTAGTTTCTCTCCCTCCCCCTCTCTCGTTAGTGTCGTACTGAAAAACTGCAGCGCAAATCACGAAACTAAATTAAACAAAAAAGGTCATCACAGATTAAAAAAAAAAAAAAAACGCCACCTTTTCTAATGTGACTGTTTTTTTTTTTGCAATTGATTTGCTGTTTTTTTCTTCTGATTTTGGATTTGCTGTTGATTTTTTGGGGGGGGAGGCATTTTATAATTTGTGTTTGCAAAGAGCCCCCTTTTTTTGTTTGTGTTTTTGTGATTTGGACTTCAGGGCCACTGTAATTAATAGTCTAGACATCTCATTGATCAGTCTGTCTGTTCTTATACTGTGCATCCTAATCCTCAGTGGCACATATTGTGGATAACATCTCATACCGACTTGTCTGCTAGGATCACACAACTGCTGTTCAGCGGGCCGGCCGGCGTAACGAAAACGTCATTGGGCGGCGGGAATTTTGTTCTGGCCTGGACGCCGACTCCAGACGATTCAGGTCTTCGTCAGGCCATCTGCTTCGTTGTTGAAGCGACTCTAGATGATACGTACGTATTTTTGTTACATTGATCATTGGTGCACTTAGCATACTATCAAGTCAATTCTGCTCTCCCACAGCATATTTCAATCGAAGATGCGCTGTGTCATCGTGGCAGTGGACCACTGTGAGTCAAATCTCTTCCTGTCTTTTCGATAAATTACAGTATTCAGACACCACCAACTCGTGGCAGCGGTGGGCCGATCACCACGACTACAGAAATGCAGTGACAACAGCACGTTTTGCAAGTGGAACCGTTTTGCTCTGACCAAGCAGAGGACATCATCGGAGCCAAGCTAGCTAGCGAGCAAATTTGCATTCTGATTGTTTCAAGAAATGCCTTTGCACATCGAGTTGAAGTTCATGGGCCCGCACTTGCGCTGGTGAGCGTCCTGGGCAGGTTAGACATGGCAACGCAGAAAGTCTGAAATCTAATTGGATAAACACGGCTCACCGCTGCTACCTATCTGCCAGACCAACTAATGAAAGCTGCATGACTTTTGCCTTTAGCGCTTTTGGCCCTGAATGCCAAATTCCTGTCCCGAAGCTTCCATCCCCTCTTCGATATCAAGCAGATCGCCTTACCGCGGGTATGCAGTCGACATTTCACATACACAGCACAACGATGCACCCAGTTTAAGTGCCGCTTGTTGTCCTGCAGCTGAAGAAGGAGCTGGTGGATCGAGGGCTGCCCCCTGACATCACGCTGAAAGTGGTAGACTTCAAGGAGAAGGACACGTTTTAATATGGTGATTGACTGATTGTTTAACAAAGACTCATGAAACGTGATCATTCACTCTTATCATCTCACAGCATCTTTTTTTTTTCACTTCACATGCCTCAACAAAAACCCAGATCATTCTGAAAATGTATTTTAGTTTTGCAATGTCACTAATGTATCAGGTGACTTTTCAGTTTATATGGTGAAATTATTTTATTCACTGTAAATATTTGCACAAAGTTGCACTTTTACTTTATTTCAACCATTTGTATAGTGAAAATGGCTCTGCTGTGTTGACAGTGCCACTTTATGAGATTTAAGTTTTGATAAAGCTACAGCAGTGACATGACTTAAGTGTTTTTGTTTTTTTCCGGTCTTTTTTTCTTTGCTGAACAGTGAATGGAGTGTTTTCAGAAGTCAGTATCAATCAAGCAAATTGCATCCTTGTATTGTAGACAACTGTCAGCATGACCAAAAAAATAAATCCATAAAGAAATCTGTATCGGCCGATGCTCAAAGCTGCAGTATCGGTATCTGTATCGGATCTGAAATAGCGGTATTGAGTCAGCCCGATTGAAATACATGATAGTGACCACAAATGCTGACAGCTTAACCCAGAGGTGTCCAACTCATTTTAGTCGCAGGCTAATTTGGAGTTAGGTCTTCCCTCGGCAGGCCGCTATGACAGTTAAACCACAAATATATTACTTGCACACAAGAAATTAATAGATTACTAGTTTTGAAATCAGTCAAGTCAATTATAATAGTTTGCTCAATTATTGTTCAAGCGAATGTAAACACGGTAACAAAATTATTGCAAAATCTCAATGTTATTTATTACATAGGACAATTTGACATTTCGGTACAGATTTTAGCAAGTTGACACACACGATTTGCTTTCACGGGCCACATAAAGTGACCTGGCGGGCCGGAACTGGCCCCGGGCCTTGGGTTTGACACCTGTGGCTTAACCCTTTCATGCACCCTGCAACCTGATAACAAGCTGTCCCCTGGAGTAACGGCTGTCCTAAAAGGGTTAACGTATTAATGTGTGGTCATTGGTCCAGATCTGCTTTGCTCATCAAAAAAGCAGTGAAAAACGTTTGCGACGGAAAATAGCATTGTCCCGGAATCTAATAAAGGTTTTCTTATCTTATATTTGTAGCGACGCCACTCGAGCAAAGCGCGCCTCAGCAGTCGAAAGTCCGCTGCTCTCTGCTGTGTGTGCGTCCGCGCAAACATGTCCGCACGCGCGCGTCTTTTGGTTTCAACCAATCAGCGCCGACGCAATTGACGTCACGAATCAAATACGCTTTGATCGACGACAACAAAAAGCTAGCCTGGCCGAGACAACAGCTAAGCTGAGCTGACGCACACACAGCAGAGAGCAGCGGACTATCGACTGCTAAGGCGCACTTCGCTCGAGTGGCGTCGCTACATATTTGTCTGTCACTTGTTGAGATCGATAAATTCGATGAATAGATTTTTCCAGGAAATACGGTAATTGTTTGCCAAGCCGGCAACCAAACCATCCATTCACTGCCCCAGGATGGCGTAGATCTATTGTTACCCGTAATGACCCGAAGTGATCACGTGATCATCGTCGGAACTACTCGGAGACTGCGGGAAAAGCAGAGCGGGTACCAGGTCCTGCATTTTCCGGCAAAACTACAGTATGAAATGGAAGGGTGGGGAAAATGACATACACAAATGAAATGAACACCGCAGGTTAATTTTTTTGGATTTTTATGGATTTTAGAAGATTTCCCTGAAAATTATGGACAATTATGAACATAATTTCACAACTTCTTTTTTTGTGGATTTTTATGAACTTTAAGGACCTGTACGAACCCTGCATTTGTGACCTGGCACGCTCACACGCTGTAGTTAATTTCGCAATGGCAACCTGTCAGGCCTCACCTTTCCGTTCTGCTGTTTAATTACAGGGATGCGTCATTTTTCCGAAGAACAAGTCAGACTGCATATAGACGCTTGTGTCAAAGACTCATCTGTCACTTATCATCCCGAATTGTGCGAGTCTGGTCCAGTCTTCCGTCATGCATGGGTGCTTGCTGGTCTTGACGCTGCTGGCTTGCAGCTGCCAGGCATTTAACTACACGGGCACAGCCTTTACCTACCACCCCCTGAAGGGGTCTGACACCACGGTTCGTACGCTTTGAAGCATAGATCATTGCCTGCCTTCTCAATGTCAGCTGTCATCACGAGTGAATTCTCCGCAGACCGTCGTTCGCTACAAGTTGGCCTTCCAGGAGTGCGGCAATGTCACCGTGGTGGACTGTCCGCTGGACAACTGCACGGTCAACGTGGTGTCTGTGAACAGGGTGGACGAGAACAGCGGAGTGTGGTGTCAGGATGAAGTGATCGTGCATGTGGACATCCCAGATAATTTTACGCTGAAGTGAGTCTTGAGAAACGCACGTACACTTGTTTCCCCTTTGGGCTATTCGAGAGCTAGCGCTCCACAACCAGTTTTTCCTCACGGCTAATGGTGACAGTGATGAAATACAAACACTTTGTGACCATATTCATTTGGATTATTTCAAATATCTGTACAAAAATGCTTTTTTAAATCTAAAAAAAAAAAGGAAAATCAGAGGTGAACTTAACCTCGCGGAAGATTTCGATGAACTAAAATCTAAGGCCAGAAAAAACTGACGGCAGTGATAAGGGGAACGTGAACCAGGGAACATTTAAAAACAATGACGTAAGTGATTCTAAATATTCTCTATCCAATCAAAGAAAAACAGTGGTGCCTTGAGATTTGAGTTTAATTTGTCCCCTGACCACATTTGTAACTCAAAACACAAAGGTTTTGAAAGTAAATGGAAATATTTTCAACAAGTCCACCCAAAATACAAATATTTTTCTAATGTGTTTTTTAGGTATTCTGCAATGGTGTTCTTTTCCAAAACATACCGAAAGTAATATAATGAAAGACAACGTCGAAAAGAATCCATTTTTAAAAGTAAATTCTTTGGACGTTGTGCTGCTCCTTCTGGTATGCACATATTGGCCCCTGGGGGGCAGTATAATACCCTCATGCAGTCACAAAGTAATTGAGAGTTTTGCAACAACTGTCAGTGACCATGTCAGGTGCAAAATTTGTCTTTTTTTCGCAGAAGATAAAGAATATATGCCCATAACATTAAGATAGTAAACTAAAAGGCCAATTTATGTTTTTAATTTATGTTCTTAATTTTATATTTAAAATTTGCTCGACCAGTCTGGATGGCCTCAAGTGGATCAATGTAGCCAATAACGTCACGGATGTACTGGCCGTTACACGCGCGGAGCTGAGGACCAGATCCGACACCGGCCGGCCAAATTCGTCCCCCCAGACCACCATGCTTCCCGTGCTCAGGTAAGACCAGCCTGACACTGAAGTTTGGGCGCCAGGGAAACCAGCCGCCACCTTATAGGATGTTTGCATTCATCCCCAAGGGTACCGTCCAACTGCTTTTTGGGAGCGAGGCTGCCCACCTTTGACCCCGACGGAGATGATGTGGACTGTTTCCCTTTTGACCCGAACACGAACCTGGAATTTTTTGATATCATTGACGTGAGTGAACCCCACCTGCTGAAAACAACACACTCCTCTATTCTGCAATGGTGTTCTTTTCCAAAACATACCGAAAGTAATATAATGAAAGACAACGTCGAAAAGAATCCATTTTTAAAAGTAAATTCTTTGGACGTTGTGCTGCTCCTTCTGGTTTGCACATATTGGCCTCTGGGGGGCAGTATAATAGCCTCATGCAGTCACAAAGTAATTGAGTTTTGCAACAACTGTCAGTGACCAATTAAGGTGCAAAATGTGTCTTTTTTTCGCAGAGGATAAAGAATATATGCCCATAACATTAAGATAGTAGACTAAAAGGCCAATTTATGTTTTTAGTTTATGTTACTCATTTTATCTTTAAAATTTGCTCTACCAGTCTGGATGGCCTCAAGTGGATCAACGTCGCCAATAACGTCACGGATGTACTGGCCGTTACACGCGCGGAGCTGAGGACCAGATCCGACACCGGCCGGCCAAATTCGTCCCCCCAGACCACCATGCTTCCCGTGCTCAGGTAAGACCGGCCTGACACTGAAGTTTGGACGCCAAGGGAAACCAGCCGCCACTTTATTGGATGTTTGCATCATCCCCAAGGGTACCGTCCAACTGCTTTTTGGGAGCGAGGCTGCCCACCTTTGACCCCGACGGAGATGATGTGGACTGTTTCCCTTTTGACCCGAACACGAACCTGGAATTTTTTGATATCATTGACGTGAGTGAACCCCACCTGCTGAAAACAACACACTCCTCGATTGCCAGCGCAGCACTGACTGCTCCTTCTTTGCAGGGTTGTTTGCTGAAATTCCTGCCCATCTTCAACGACAGCAGCGTGGAGGGCACGTACGCCGTGCAGGTGGTCATGACAGACATCGCTCGCCAAGACTTGACTCTAACCGATGCCGCGGGGAACGAGAAGTTTATCCACAAATATGGAACCATCAGCGAAGTTCCCGTCCAGTTTGTTCTGAAGGGTGAGAAACGTTTGGACCGGACTCACCTTTGGAACAGTCCAGTCCAGTCAGGTGGCAAAAGTGGGGACAGTCTAAAATGCTTCGCGTGAGAACGCATCAGGGTTACAAACTGGGGTTCTCGTTTTGTTTCTTCAGAGGTGGAAGTGGGCATGAGTAGAACTGTCCACATACACATTAGTGATGATTTATAATGTTTAGGCTTTTTCTACGTTTGTGTTTTAGGCTGTCACAAAAAAGGCTCACATTCTGTACTTTAAGGCGAAGTTCAGTTTCTAATCTCTCCTCACTCATCCCTGACCACCATAATAGTATGCAAGTATGAAAGTTGTGATGTCCATCTTAAAAAAAGTAGCGTTGCTAGCATTAGCATTGGAAAAGAAGCTCAGGTTTGTTTTGGGTTTGCCGCTACGTTGGTGGCATGGCTTAAATCTAATAAAGTGTGAGCATAACACCACCGCGCACGTACAACCGTTAGAAGTTTCACTCTTCGGAATGTGCAATTAACCCCAAATTAAGAAAGCGGTGAAAAATGTACCCGTCGAGCGAGAACCCGTGCTAATTCGGCATCGCTTTTTGAATCCTCTCAGCTGCCTGAGGTCCCTTCGCTCTGCACTTGAGAGGAAACGTTCTTATCGTAACCGTAACTTTTCCTCTGTTTGAAATTTTTAATTTCCAGTGGATCCACCAGTGGAGTCGTGCTATGAGGGAGAATACCTGCCCCTGTTTTTATATCCTACACCTAACGACGGAGATCATCGATACGCCTTTGTCAACCAGACCCTGGAGATTAAGATCTACGCAAAAGCGGAGAAATCGATGTACGTGTTTCTTTTAACGAATTTATCACCACAGATACACAGTCACCTCTTCCACTGTCTATTATGCCTTTTCATATTCCAGTTAAAAAGAGACAGTCATGACTGAATTTATTTTCCGAAGGAAAACACTCCATGGTGGCATTGCACTTTGTATGACTGCCGACAGCTGTCGCATGTGCTACGCATTGTATGCAGCAGTTCACAACGGTTATTTAACATGACAAAGATCCATTTTTAAAAATACTTATACTCAGTAGAGACACTGATTAGTCACTCGATTCTCTCCCTCCTCCTCGCTCATTAATGTCGTACTGAAAAACTGTAATGCAAATCAGAAAAAAAAGATCATCAGATTAAAAAGAAAAACGCCACCTTTTTCATGTGGCTGGGTTTTTTTCCTTCTGATTTTGGATTTGCTTTTGCGGGTTTTTTGGGGGGTTTTGTGCATTTTATAATTTGTATTTGCAAAGACCCCCCTTTTTGTTTGTTTTATTGTGATTTGGACTTAAGGGTCACTGTAATTAGTAGTCTAGACATCTCATTGAACAGTAGATCAGTCTGTCTGTTCTTCTTATACTGTACATACTAATTCTCAGTGGCACATATTGTGGATAACATCTCATATCGACTTGTCTGCTAGGATCACACAACTGCTGTTCAGCGGGCCTGCCAGCGTAACGAAGGCTTCATTGGGCGACGGCAATTTTGTTCTGGCCTGGACGCCGACTCCAGACGACACCGGCCGACGTCAGGCCATCTGTTTTGTCGTTGAAGCGAGTCTAAATAATACGTACGTATTTTTGTAAATTGATCATTGGTGCGCTGAGCATACGAACAAGTCAATTCTGCTCTCCCACAGCATATTTCAATCGAAGATGCGCTGTGTCATCGTGGCAGTGGACCACTGTGAGTCAAATCTCTTCCTGTCTTTTCTATAAATTATTTCGACACCAACAGCTCGCGACAGTGGTGGGTCGATCACCACGACTACAAAAATGCAGTGACAACAGCACGTTTGGCAAGTCGAACCGTTTTGCTCTGACCAAGCAGAGGACATCATTGGAGCCAAGCTAGCTAGCTAGCAAATTTACATTCTGATTGTTTCAAGAAATGCTATTACACATGTAGTTGAAGTTCATGGGCCCGCACTTAGGCAGGTGAGCGTCCTGGGCAGATTAGACATGGCAACGCAGAAAGTCTGAAATCCAATTGGACAAACACGGCACACCGCTGCCACCTATCTGCCAGGCCAACTAATGAAATCTGCATGACTTTTGCCTTTAGTGCTTATGGTCCTGGATGCGAAATTCCTGTCCCGAAGCTTCCATCCCCTCTTCGATATCAAGCAGATCGCCTTACCGCGGGTATGCAGTCGACATTTCACATACACAGCACAACGATGCACCCAGTTTAAGTGCCGCTTGTTGTCCTGCAGCTGAAGAAGGAGCTGGTGGATCGAGGGCTGCCCCCTGACATCACGCTGAAAGTGGTAGACTTCAAGGAGAAGGACACGTTTTAATATGGTGATTGACTGATTGTTTAACATGAAACGTGATCATTCACTCTTATCATCTCAAAGCATCTTTTTTTTTCCACTTCACATGCCTCAACAAAAACCAAGATCATTCTGAAAATTTATTTTAGCTTTGCAATGTCACTAATGTATCAGGTGACTTTTCAGTTTATATGGTGAAATTATTTTATTCACTGTAAATATTTGCACAAAGTTGCACTTTTACTTTATTTCAACCATTTGAATCGTGAAACTGGCTCTGCTGTGCTGACAGTGCCACTATATCAGATTTAAGTTTTGATAAAGCCACAGCGGTGACATGACTTCAGTGTTTCGTTTTTTTTCCCCGTCATTCTTTCTTTGCTAAACAGTGAATGTAGTGTTTTTAGAAGTCAGAATCAAGCAAATTGCATCCTCGTATTATTGACAACTGTAAGCACGACAAAAAAAATCTGGTATCTGTGTTGGATCTGAAATAGCGGTCTTGAGCCAGCCCGATTGAAATACATGATAGTCACCAGAAATGCTGATAGCTTAACCCAGAGGTGTCCAACTCATTTTAGTCGCGGGCTAATTTGAAGTTAGGTCTTCCCTCAGCGGGCCGCTATGACAGTGAAATCACAAATATATTACTTGCACACAGGAAATTAATTGATTTCTAGTTTTGAAATCAGTCAAGTCACTTATAATAGTTTGTTCAATTATTGTTCAAGCGAGTGTAAACAAGGGAACAAAATTATTGCAAAATCTCAATGTTATTTATTACACATGACGATTTGACATTTCGGTACAGTTTTTAGCAAGTTGACACACACGATTTGCTTTCACTGGGCCATATAAAATGACCTGGCGGGCCGGAACTGGCCCCCGGGCCTTGAGTTTGAAACATGTGGCTTAACCCTTTCATGCACCCTGCAACCTGATAACAAGCTGTCCCCTGGAGTCACGGCTGTCCCTGAAAGGGTTAACGTATTCATGTGTGGTAATTGCTACAGATCTGCTTTGCTCATCAAACAAAGCAGTTAAAAACATTTGCGACATTCTGCCAGACTTGCATTTTTTTCCCCTTATTGTCCTAAATGTTTTTTTTTTTTTAAGCAATCTGCGAGTGAAAGTGTGCAATACTGTGTATCTGTCAATAGCCTTTTTTTTGGGGTGGGGGGGGTGTTTTGGTTGGCTAGTCAGTAGTTTGGAGTTACAGGTCAGGTGACTCATGGGAAAACCTGTCATTATGTGCTTTAAAGCGGAAACCATTAAGGGGTCATTAAAATCAGATCATTGCTGCACAACCGGTTGGGGCAAAGAGGAAGCAGCACCCTTCAACGGGGCCTGAAGCAAGATTTGATTTCACTGTTGAATCTTTTTCCTCACTTTGTCACTGTTTATTCATCAATTCTTTTCCAAAACATATTGTATGTGAAGAATAATAATAAAAATACTACAATAGGCTCTGTTGACTGTTTATTGCTCTCGGCACCTGCTGAGTTGAATTTTGCCTTGGGGTGAAAAGCCCATTTGGTTACATTGGACATGAAAGAGTGCTTCCATGACAAATCGATTGTACTCTTTGCATCGAAACCCATGCCGTAAAATAAAGCACGCAATGCTGTGGATTAATGAGAAGTGACTGATTTGAAATCAACAGATTTCAACTTTGATCAGCAAGCATCATCACCACAAGCGGAACCAGCAACATTCCTGGGAGGATAAGATAAAGAGACGACAAGAGACAAGCTGCAGTTTAGACATCTTTATTGGGTCAAGTGCATCAGACGTAGTTGCCGGTTTCTCGTCCACGCCGCCTCCTGTAGCCTCCTCGCCCGCCGGGTCGCCGTCCCCTGTAGTTTCTGCTCGGCGCTGACCGCAAACCAGAAGACTCGTCGGCCTCGTCAGTGTTGCAACCCACTGACGGGTGACGATGAGGAGGCCCCATGTGACCTCCTGCAGGAATGTGAGCCAAAGGGACTGTTCTTCCCTTCTCGAAAAAGGGAAATGTATACATTTGTTCATTTGAACCACAAGTGAGAATTGTAAATCAACTAAAACAGTGGGACAAGGGAAACCTTTCGTTAGCCTAATTTCCCCAAGGTTTTTTTTTTTTTTAATACCGTGCTAGCAAAAAGTCTTTGTTTGCTGAATTTGTTTGTTTTTGCTTTGCAACATTGTTCAGTTGCATTTAACTTTATAATAGATTTGCATTTTGTCTTTAAACCAATGTACAAAACATTTCAGTCAAATCATTATTTTATTCTTTTTTTTCCTCGATCATGCAGGGCTTCAGATAATGAACAAAGTAGCAAAATCCACTCATTTTTAACCAAACTCAAAGGGCGGACATTTTGGCACCGGCTGTTCAGTGAAAATGACATCACAGTTGCTCGGGGCTCTGGTAACGACC